GTCACACGGGGACAGCCTGGGGACATCCTGGGGACACTGTATCACACAGCCCTGGGGACATTGTGTCACACGGGGACACCCTGGGGACACCGTGGGGACAACCTGGGGACACTGTGTCACACGGCGACAGCCATGGAGGTGGCTCTGGGGGGGACAGCGTGGGACAGAACCTTGGGGAACTTGGGGACAGGCGACAAGTGTGTGACAACAAGGGACCAGGCAGGTGACCCCATAAAGCTGGTGACCCCAGTGACCATGTGGGGGGTGACCCCAGGCCCCTGTAGGTGACCCCAGTGACCAGACAGGTGCCCCCAGCCCCACCCAGGTGCCCTGACAGGCACCCTCAGCCCCACCCAGGTGTCTCTATGGGTGCCCCCTGCCCCACCCAGGTGCCACTGTGGGTGCCCCCAGCCCCATAGAGGTATCCCGAGACCCCTCTGGGTGCCCTCAGCCCCACCCAGGTGTCTCTGTGGGTGCCCCCAGGCTCACCCAGGTGCCCCCAGCTCCAGGCAGGTGTCCCTGTGAGTGCCCCCAGCCCCACACAGGTGTCCCTGTGGGTGCCCCCAGCCCCACCCAGGTGTCTCTGTGGGTGCCCCCAGCCCCACACAGGTGATCCTGTGAGTGCCCCCAGCCCCACACAGGTGTCCCCAGCTCCAGGCAGGTGCCCCCAGCCCCAGGCAGGTGTCCCTGTGAGTGCCCCCAGCCCCACCCAGGTGTCCCCAGCTCCAGGCAGGTGCCCCCAGCCCCACCCAGGTGTCCCTGTGAGTGCCCCCAGCCCCACCCAGGTGCCCCCAGCCCCACCCAGGTGTCCCCAGCCCCAGGCAGGTGGCCCGCGGGTGCCCCAGGCTCACCTCCTTGTAGAGCGAGTAGAGGAAGACGATGGTCTGGATGGTTTTGCCCAGCCCCATCTCGTCGGCCAGGATGGTGTCGGTGCTCTGGGCCCACGAGAAGCGCAGCCAATTGAGCCCCTCCAGCTGGTACAGGTGCAGCGTCCCACCTGTGGCCGTGATGAAGCGCGGCTGCGTCTCGTACTTCACCGTGGGCTGCGGGGACAGGGGCGTCACCACACGGGGACACGGCACCCCCACATCACCCGGGGGGTGGGAACCATGTGGGGGTGTCAGGGGGATCGGGTTTGGGGGCATTCAGGTGTTCAGGGCACCCCAAAAAACACCAGGGGGTGGGAACGATGTGAGCGTGTTGGGGAGCTCAGGTGAGCTCAGGTTTGGGGGGATTCAGGTGTTCAGGACACCCCAAAAACCACCGGGGGGGATGGGAAGGATGTGGGGGTGTCACAGGGCTCAGGAGGATCAAGTGTGCCAGGGGGATCAGATCTGGGGGGATTCAGGTGCCCAGGTTTGAGTTCCCCCAGGTTTAGGGGTTCCCCCAGGTTTAGGGTTCCCCCAGGTTTGGGGTGCCCAGGTTTTGGGGTCCCCCCAGGTTTGGGGTGCCCAGGTTTGGGGTCCCCCAGGTTTGGGGTGCCCAGGTTTTGGGGTCCCCCCAGGTTTGGGGACACTCACGTCGTTGGTGGGGGACTCGGGGGGTCCCTCCCCCGGCGTCTCCTTCTTCTTCTTCTTGTAACGCCGGGGCTGGGCCGGGTCCTCCCCCATGAACACCTCCCTGGGGACACCGGGGGACACCAGGGGGACATGAGGGGACACCAGGGGGACATGAGGGGACACCCAGAGTGTTTCCAGTTTTCTCCATGTTCCAATGTCCCCAACATCCCTGATGTCCCCCATGTCCCCAGTCTCCCCACATCCCTCACTGGTGTCTCCAGTATGC